AACGGGAGCAGGACTGCATGCATGTTGCAGGTGGCATCATCATCATCATCATCATCATCATCATCATCTCTGTGTCTCTGTGATAAGAATCTCGTTAGAGGCAATCTCTCTTGGGCATCTGTGAATGCCGCTTCCCTACCCCGTCCCTGGCAATTCTGAGGCCAGTCCCCCCCATCTGGGCGATGCCTCCATTTTGAGGCACTCTCTGCCGTTTGTTGCTTAATTAATGCTGCAGGTGGCGCTGCTAACGAGATGAAAGCCACGCCCAAATATAGATTTAAAAGAAAAAAAGGTGTGCAACAATCTGGGGTAAATAAAAGGAAGCGCCTTGGAAAAAAAATCAAGGCAACATTTATCGGAAATGCAGTGTGAATGAAATCCAAATACAAGCCAGATGGCTATCACTAAAAGACAGTTGTGTCATACATAATCGTAATTACTTATAGCCTTTATACACAGCCGCTTTCGATATAGGGGCAATGCAGACGCAGGTTACAAATGTTTTGTATTTGTGCTTTTGATGGCAAGGAAATCAAACAATTATGGAAATAATACAGGAAAATAAACGAAAGAGATCAAGTCTTACATATATGCTTATTGTTTTTTCAGAGACGGTTCTTTCTCACTCTATAAAAACCATCGATGTTCTCCTCCCATCTAGGCAGCAGTGTCCTTGTGGTCCCTTATCGAATGATCAAATTGTTTGAAGATATTTTATTTTTAAGAATTATATGTATTATATATTTTAATTATATATGTATTTCTAAACGCCAAAATTTGATCTTTGATGTGCTATTTTGTTGTTTGTTTAAGTTTCAAAAGGATGCCAAGGGATGCCACCATTAGGCCACTGTCCTGCGTCTCCGGCAAGATTCAAAGATGCATAACGAAGCCCTCGTGTGAACAGGGCTTGGATGGCATTAGACTGGGGTTTATAAATAGATACATACAAGCCCAGTTTCTGGTCACCGAGAGGCAGAGATATGTAGGTCCCAAGCCCTAGCCCCAAAAGATCGTCCCCTTCTCCCCCCCGCAGAGTTCAGTCATCTTCGCACAGACACTTAGCATAAGACGAAAGCCGCAGACAAAAAGCAAGCCAAAAATAGATTGCAAAAACGAAGAAATACATTAAGATCGGCAAAGAAATGTTACACCAATTTTTCTATAAACAAAATATGAAAGAAACCAGACAAAAATGGACAATAAGCGGAAACAAAGCAAAAGGGCCTTTCAAAAAGTTTGTAAAAATCGTTCGACAGATGGAATGATATAATCCTAGAGATCGATACGAAAACACCGAATTTTAATATCGATAAAAATACACCTTCGGCACAATGGTGGACTCGATGGGGTGGCGAGCCGTAGTGCGTAGATGATGGGGATCGGGATCGGGATGGGGATATCGAATCGGTTTATTTAGCTATCGAAATCAATCATGGACAGCTGCAGGTGCGGGGAACGAGTATCTGTGTGTATTGGGGTTCGGTGACAAATGTCAACGAACGAGTCGAACAAAAGGTTCGATCAAGATTTGAAATTGTTTTGTCGCTGGGTGACAAAAGGCCCCAGAAGCCGCCGCCGCCGCCGCTGAGGAAGATGTTCGCTGCCGGTCTATTCGGGGCTGGAAAACGGTACTTTAAACAACATCCATAGCAAACCTTCTCCCCCCCTGCCCGACTACCGACTGGACTGACCCTCGTCTTCCATTAGTAGCCAAAGTTCATGTGTCAGATGATGAAAAACGAAATCGAAGCGACCGCCTCGACCGCCACTTCTACGAGTGTATCGGTTTTTTTTTTTTTTTTGTTTTTTTTGGTAGCTGGAACGTCTCTCTCTCTCTCGCTTTGACAAACTTTATTTATGCTTTTCTTCACGCTCGACCGTTATGCTAACTGCACATTCGCTTTGTTTGGCTTATTGGCCGCTTATTGTTTTAAACTCTGATCTCTGATCTCTGATCTGTGGGCCCTGACTCGACTTGTTTTCTTTCGTCACCATCAAAGAGAATGTTTTAATTATAGCATCCCGGGGGGGGGGGGGGGGGGACCCGACTAAGTAGTCGAGGTAGTCGCACGGCGCAACTAACCCATTGATTAATGTCCCTCTTTAGTCGGCCCCTCCAATTTTAAGTAGTTTTCATTTGTATTCCCATTCTCCTGCAATTCGGCACGGCTTTCGATCTGGAAGGTGTAGCAGATAACAAACCAAGCAACTTATACTGTTTTTAGCCACTACTTAAATACTTAATTGCTGTCACTAAGTAGCCGGGCGATAATGTCCAAAGAATAGGGCTTGATTGGTGCACGTGCGGGGCTGAGAGACCGCTGGCAAGGGAGAGGGAATCGATTCCCACATTCTGGAAGAGGTTTATCAAAAGATTGAGCAAAGAATACGAAATTGGGAGTAAGGAAATCTCATGGGTGACAGTGGAAAGTCAAGATGAAGAAACTGAAGAGTTTCATAAGGTATAAGGGAGATCTCATTTCCCTGTGGGACTATTATTTAATAGAGAAATCAAATCAAATGTAGATCATGCTAAAGTCGAAGGAAAAGAGAAGGAGAAAGGAGGTTATGGCTTCAAGTTCCCTCGGAATAGAGAAGATTCCTTATCGATATGGCAGTGGTTCCTTAAAGAGGAACTCAATGGAGCGGCCTTTGATAGAGGCACTCAGTCTCTCCCTCTCTCAGACATTGGGCTACCATCTCGCGTCGAATCCCAGCTTCCTGGCAGTGATAATGTGGGTGGGCTTGAGTCCCTCAAGCAAAACTGTACGACCATGGACCCGGTTTGAATGGCTTTCCACTGAGAAGGAAGTCGGGGAAATAGGTATAAAACAGATGAAAAGTGAAGAAGAAAGTCGACAGCATACAGGGAAGACAAGGGTAAAAGGCACTGACATAGGAGGTGATGATATTATACCCCACGAGGGAATCAAAATCAAGGACAGGAAAGAAATGAAAAATCGGAAAAAAACAAAACGCTAAAGAAATGTAGAAGAAAACAGAGAAATTTAATGAGTTGAAGGCGAAGAATGGAACAGCAGAGGCCACATTCCAGTGTAATTCGTTGTGGTGCAGGAGCAACTCCCCCCCCAACCCCCCCACAGACGGAGCTCGGCCCCCTGGAGATGTCCGTGTATGGCAGTGTTGCTGGTGCTGCCGCTTCATTTGTTCTGCAAAAGTCGTGATTGTCCGTCCGGCCATGGGATATTTTCTCTCTCTCTCTCTGCCATAAGAGGGGAACCCCGCACAGGTGTGTGAGCGCTCAGGTTGTGTTTAGCTGCTAAAATAGTTGACTAATTAATTTATAATGCAATTTCATTCAGGCGACAGCTGAAGCAGCAGCAGCAGCGGCCACAGAAGCACTAATAGGAGCTCAAGAAGCTGGGAGCTTCACCCAGAGGAGGGTGATCGCATCCATTTGTAAAATGGAAACCGTTTTAATAGACACCACAACAAGAAAGAAAGGCTATCCCCAAGGTCGACACCTGGGATACCCTGGCCACCTCTGAACATAGATCGATCCCCAGACAGCCAGTAAAGTAGATCGGCCAAGGGTACACGAGTAAATATTTGCATTGAAAAATGTATATTATACTATTCTGACGTTGTGCACGGCGTAGTCATGTAGTACCCTCTGCTCTGTCAGGGTATGGCAGCAGCACCACCAGGAGTAGCCCCACTAGCCACCGCCTAATCATTGTTTATGATATGGTTAGCCGGCCAGGCCGTGCTTCCAAGTCGCTTCCAAGTCGCTTCCATGTCGTGTCCCCCAAGTCACTTCTCTGGCATTACGCATTTCCCAACTGCAGTTTGCAGTGTGGTCTCCCCGGCAAGGGAAATTTATGCAAATGGATATGCTGCATCTGGAGAGATCTCTTTAAAGCTTTTGCGCAATTATCCGTGGGGACCTCACCTGCTGCTATTCTGCCGTTCTCCGGCATTTGATTGAACTCAAGTGTGCCCGATGCGTAATGCCCAGATGTTGGTTGGGGGATGGGGACTGCGGATAGGGCGGAGGCGGTGGGAGGGCCGGGGCAGGCCCTGCATGGTGGCATGTGCGGCAAACACGTGACAATTGCTGTGCCGGTCAATTGAAATTGAAAACCAATTGGAAATTCCGATGAAACACCAGCAACAATTGCAAGAGCCACTGGACCCAAGAGCCACTCGTGACTGGGTACCACAATTTTGGCACAGTGGTGTGAAAACATCTGTCAGTGGGCAAAAACTTGGCAACGCTGAAAAGAGCTGCTGACACGTGAAACCCAAGAGAACGAATACAAGATCTCGTACCACTGTGCAGGCACCGGCAGACAACGGCATTTGTGCAACAGTTTCTGCCTCTGAACTCCCCCCCCCCCCCCCCCCCCCCACCCCCCACCGGGCCCCAGGCCAATGGCCAAAATGCAAATCGCCCCAGAATCGAACTGGAGTACTCGATATCTGGTGTTCTGGGTATTCTGTTGTTCTGCATTCAAATGGAAGCGCCCCCCTCCCCACCGAGCACCAGCTCCCTTCCCCCTGAATGTTGACAATTCGGCCGCCAAGGCTTTTCCTTGCAGTTGCAGTGGAACCGCTAGACTACAACCCCAGCCACAGCCAGCGCCACAGACGAAGGCACAGACACAGACACAGACACAGACACAGTACCAGCCCCGACCGGATGAATGGGGAATGGAAATTGGATGTTGGAATGAGAATCGCGAATCGCGAATCGCGAATAGCAAATAGCGAATTGGGTATTAGGTTTTGCAATGTGGATGGAAATTAGGAGCACGCCAGGCAGGCGCAGGTGACCGATCAGAAACGATGGCTGCAACGTGATGTGGCAAATGGAAGAAGGTGAAAACCAGATGTGAAACACGAGTGTAGAAACACTGTAGGAGCAAACAATGGCCCATAAAGGACGAGACTAAGATTTAATTTTGGTTGATTTTTGATTTAATTTAAGTAAATAATGCTGAAACCTTAAATACATTCAAAAGCAAGGCCGGCGATTAAATAATCTAGATTCCAGTTCAGTCGTTTTCACATCATATTTTTTTTGGGTTAAATTGTTCTTTTTTTGGTTTTTGGGATCCCCAAGCGCCCTCTCCGATCAATCTTTATGGTCGAAGCATAAAAGTTTATGAGTCGCATTATGTTCGAGACCGGATCAGGGCCCGCCCTTAAAGTCGCTGCATCGCCAGCAACGCCATGGAGATGGACAATGGGAGAGCCAGGAGTCGAAGCCAAACGCCAATGCCAATGCCAATGTCAAGGCCAATGCCAATGCGCTCGGCACCACCTTTGCCGAGGGAATAGTGGATGACACCGCGTTTTGTTTTGAGCACATCTGTGAGCAGATCCGAGCTCATTTCGTTCTCCATGAGGCACATCTGCATGAGATCGTCGGGCAACTGGATGTGGAACGGGAAGCAATACATGGCTGCTTTGTCCAGGAGCATCGTGTCGTTAACAGTATCGCCCTGGTCCAGACATTTGAAGCTCTTCACGTCCACGAACCGCATCCTCTCGCAGCTTTGCAGCGGCGACTCCTTCATTAGGACCAGAACGTAGTCCAGCGAGTCTGTCATGTACAGAGCGAACGGTTCGCCAGCCTCTATAAACGTGTCCCGGAACTTGGTGACCGCCACCAGAGGATAATGTCCCAAGCATTTCCTCTGCAGGATCTCCTCGTGCGATTTCAAATAGACACAGCGTTCGGGGACAATATTTTCCATTTCATCATAGCCACTGAGGCTGTCACAGCAGAGAAATAGGCACAGAATCAGCAAACTTCGGTCCATTCGATTCGTCCAAAGAGAATTTACTAGATATATGTATGTCCATATGTATTTGTACATGAGTGAATATTTTTGTGCTTTTTCATTAACAGATACTGAATCTATTAGAGCACTCACAAATCTACATCGGACAGTTGTCTCACAGTTTACTTGCGCCTAGACTGAGTCAATCAGATAGATAGATAGTTGGAGTGGAACCATACATTACACGGCAATACTCCAGTTGTCAGAAGAGCCCACATCTTGTAAGTCAGGAGGAGATCTCCGAAGAGATCTCTCTCTTTAATTGGCTCAGACTATTATAAACCCTACCAACACACTGGGCATAATTTTTCATGGTTCAACGAGTAGATGAAATCTCCAATTTGGCGCAAATTTTTTCCCCCAGTGTAGTATGTCGTGACTGTGTCAAGCATTTCCATGGAGCATGGAGCTTGGAGCATGGAGCATGGAGCATGGATCATAGATCTTGGATCATGGATAGATATACCAACACTTGGATAGCTCCAATTGGCATTATTCATTTCGCCTCGGTGCTGATTTGTTGGCGATTTAATTGATTCAATTATGGGCTGGCATTATTTCAATTAAGCAAGAATGATGAGAGCCGGGCCTTGGTGATGCGATACGAGGCATGACATGACACGTTCGAGCCGATCTATCAACGGTAATGAATGCGATCGAACGATCGAGCGATCGACCGCCTCTGATTTGCCTGCATAGTTTTGTGCGATTAATGCAACGGCCAACTGTTCAGCTTCCTCCTCATCACTCTGATTGACTTTTCCGGAAGCAGAAATAAAGAAAAGATGAGAAGATTGTGATTGCATAATCCGTTCCATTCGATTGGATTGGATCTCTTAGTCTTAGTCTCCACGATTATAATAGCTTGCCAATTAAATGATTTATTTCTAGTGCTATATAATCGCTTAAGGTTCCACACAGTTTTAGGCAAAACCAGGTTTTCTGTTACCTGTCGAACTCCTGAAAGATTACTAACGATTTTACCCAAAGTTCCACAGATAGCCAGTTCTCGTTAATAGCCAGAACTTCTGCATCGAAAATATCGACTTATCAACTTGTCATCAAAGAAGTATTGATCTCAGTCGATCAGGGAAAGATTGACTTCCAATCTGTTCATCTAGCTTTAGATATTTACTATGGAACCCTCTATCAAAGACATCTCCATCCCTCTCCAATCCTTGGCTATAGGCTCGCATTAAATTTCCCAAGCCCAATTTGAGATTCTTCTTGGTTCTTGGATGCTCGTAGGAATATGATGGTGGGGGATGATGATTTATATGGCAAATCAATTTTATTCACACTCCCATCCACATCTTCCTCCCCACCCGTTGGGTTTGGGTGCGCTTCTGATGAGGCAATTTATTTATTTCTGTTTTCTGTCTGTTTCTTGTTATGTGGCATCGGTTCGGCTTGGTTCGGTTCGGTTCGGTTCTCTCTGTTCCGGGGAATTGGATGGACTTTAATTTAATATTGTATATTAAAGAATATGGTTACGAAAAACGATGAAGATTTAACGGCATTTTGACTGTTTGTTTATGCATTTTTTCGAGTTTCAGTCTCTCAGTTCTTGGGCTTTTGATGGAAATATGAATTTATTGACTTTTGTTTTGTCATTAATGGGATTTGACTCTCGGTGGCGGGGGGTTTGTGTTTTTTTTTTTGGCTTTGTCAGCAGGTGGCAATTGTCATGCCCAGCCAGTGTTGTCAACAGCTCCAAGCCCTCGAACTCAGACTGGCACTGGCCCCCAACCAGAACTCCATCCCTTGGGCTCACTCCACCAAAACCAATGAGACTCACTCTCATAACTGATTTATGGGTTGTGGTTGGGGTTCGGTGTGGGTACGGTTGGTCTGGGCATAACTGCTGAATTATATAGATGTATGTATATATAATCGGAAGTTGGCACTCCATTTGAGGCAAGTGCCGCCGTTCCCCATATTAATCGACGCACCAAGTCTGGGGCCCCGTGTCCACTTCCGTCGCGTCGCGCGCCGCATTCGAAAATTGTGTCACGCGACGGAGTCGTACAATCGAAGTTCCCCGCTTCCCAGTCCCAGAGCAGACTGGTGTTTTCAGCTTTAGGATCGAAGACAGAAGCGGAATCGATCATGCAGCCATTCAATATGCGCGCATTGTGCCAGATTTTGAGGTTTCATCTATGGACATCTATAGGGTATCTCGGGATATACTTCCTTGCGGAACTTCAACCACTAGATGAAAGACCAAAGCTAACTGATCGGATCTCAAGATCAATTGGAACCCGAAACTTTACCTTCATAAAGCTTAACTTTATTGAATATTGAAATCTTGACCATCGAGGGTCTGATGGTTAAAAATAACATAAAAACTATCACCGATTATAGCTCTGATATTGGTTTGTTAACTTGGAAATTCTGATCATATTTTGTTGTAGGATATTCACGACTTCGTAACCTACCATTTCATAGTTTTCTTGAGTAGTTTATAATCAATTTTTGGATTCCATCGGCTTATTGTTTATTGCACTTGATACTGGCTTTTGTTTCAGTTGTCTTTATATTGTTGATCCACGACGATTTCGATGTCGATGTCGATGTCGATGACGATGGCGACCTTCCAATGGTCAATGGTATGGAGATGGAGTTCGTTGGCCACTTGGCTGGCGGCGGTTTTTGGGGTTTTGTTTCGTTTTTCATTTAGTTTTTTTTTTTTTTTGGATTTTCGGTTGGTTAGTTGGTGGCTTTGCTGGCTGATTGGAAGCGCGGTGAAACTGGCGAGAACCGTTAAACTTTAGCCCCTTGCTTTGACACCTGACACTTGACACATGACACCTGACACAGGCGACGACAGAGCAGCCTTGGGCGCCACGCTCTGTTGTTGGGATTGGTATTGGGAATGGGATTCTTTCTTCATTAATCGCTCGCAATTAAGCGCCACTTTACAGCCAGATTCACACTTTGTTCACACACTTTCGCATCAGATCAGCCTTTCCACATCCACATCCACATCCCCTCCATCTCTGTTTTCTTTTGGCTGTCGAATGCATTCAATCAACGCAATTGATTGATGTCTTCGATGTTGTCATTGTTGTTGGCTTGGCACGTGTCGAGCTTCTTTTTGTGTGTGCCTCACATTCCAAGATCTTAACGGATATGGAAAACCAGTTGATCTTTCTAAGCCTGGATTAATGGCCGATCAGATCAGATGCAGGGAAGGAATGGGGAAATGTTTTTGGGTAGAGGAGTAGAGGAATGAGAAATTACTGATTTTGAAGATGATTTTCCCCAAAATATATCCATGGGTTAGAGCCCCCCCATAAGTTGGTATACATTCATTGGAAGAATAGTTTTCATTCGCCGGATGACGGCTCCAAACTTCTGTATTACCCCCGTATGTTGCCCCTTGAAAACCAATAGCCGGATGAGTTGGCAGCAGCAACAGCAGCGGCAAGAACCACTCACAGATGTACTTTATATAACTATGACCGTATATTTATATACACGGAAGATACAAGTATCTTTCCATCCACCTTTCGGCCGGCTAGCCGGCTAGTCGGGGAGGCGCACTTTAATCTGGTTCTGCGCACTGAGCGCATTAATTATGCGTTCCAAAGCGATGTCTGGAATATATACTCGTTCGTACGATTATAAGTATATTCTTTTAGCTTTTCTGTTTCTGTTTCTGTTTCTGCTTCTGCTTCTACTGCTGTGTATGAAATTCTTGGCACGAGTTGGTTAATTAATTTAATTAATGTTTTACCAAAGCGACGCCGGCGCTGAGGAAGCCGTCGGCTTTGACGCCAGTCGAGAGCCCCCACACACCACACGCTGATGAGCAGGCAGTACTATCCCCATCCCCCCCCTTCCAAAAAAATCCAACTCTTTTCCCCTCCATCTTCCTCTGCGGCTTCTAACGGTAGCACGAATATTAAAAGCACAAGAGGAAAACCAAAGTTAAATGCCACACACACACACACACACACACAACGAAAGGGATGCAGTATGTAGGGAGAGGGAGGGAGATGCAGAGCCTAAGATATAGATATAGTCTAGTTTATGATCTCTCTTTCCCTCTGGGTCCGTCTCTGTGTCTGTGTCTCTCTCTCTGTCTCTGTCTCTGTCTTTCTATCGTTACTTTATTTCCACCAAAAATTATTCAAATTTCATTTCGATTTCAATAATTCCCGGCGTCTTTTGGGGCCCAATTTTTTTTTTATTTTCAATTAAAGCTTGTTTATATCAACAACAACCATAAAACTCTTATCATTTCCAGCTGCCGCTTGCATTTCTAATGAAAATTTATGGAACTTACAGCTCTCACACTCTTTCGTTTTCTCGTTTTCTGTCATTTTGAATTTTTCAAATTGGAAATTCTTTCTTTTTGACTGGCATTAAAACTTGCTCAGAGATCCTTATCTGCCCAGGGAATATTATTAGTTTTTTTTTTTTAAGAAGCATTAACTTTCTTCTGGCGGGGTTCTCGGGGAGCTAGATCGGAGCTGGGAGAGAGATTCCCACTCGTAAAAATTGCAATTTGTTGTTTCGATACCACACCAAAGTAATATCCCAATAAAAGTTCCAAATGCATTAAGGGTTCAGAAGCGAAAGATAGTGGGATACACAGTATCTTCTTATACATATGGAAAAAGAGGGTCAAGATCGTCTTAAAATCTACAGGTACAACTCACATTTCGAATATATCATATTTGGAAATCCAATTGGGTAATAAATAATTTCAAACGAATAGAGACCATTGTTGAACTATATATTTTAGAGGAACAGCGAAGATCGGATAAGTATATCACGTAAATAAATATGTTAGATATCAAATTATTTTTTACTTAGAAATTACAATTTGGCTAGACTTGGTATTGCTGTGAACATTGTTTTTGGCAGAAATACTTAGTATTTATTAGGTTCCACTATCAACAAGCATCATTGTATCTCCCTTGTGTCATAGCACATATCTCTGTCATTTAGTCTAGATATTCAGTGTTTCT